ATGCCTCCTGGCGGCACCTGCGCCGCGGCAGGGAGGGATCTGTTGCTTTATACGAGCCCCGCCCCGTCCATAACTTGAGCGTAGACTTTTAGTTTTAACTCTGTTGCAACGTCATCTCTGTTTCGTGCTACTTGGATCATGTGCGTCTGTTTTTATTTACTGCTGGGTTGCTCTGTGCCTTGCCAGAAGGAGAAAAAAGAGAAGAAATCTAAACGCCATGACAAATCTCGGAGGAGAAAGACTCAGATGGATGAAAGTGAGCAGTCGGAGGATGACATTGATCCCCCGAAACTCAAGAAATCAAGGAGTGGAGTTAAACAAAACGGTCATACAAGAGACGAAAGCCCAGAGAATGCGAAATTATCTTCCTTAAACAATAAATCCAGTCACAAAAAACGGCACAGTAATTCAAGTGAAACATCAAGTGGTGATGGTGACAGTGAACCAGAGCAGGTAAAACTGATGCTTGATTTAGTTATGGTGATATATTTAGCTTTCTACTCCTGTGTTGCAACAAGTTTAAACTTAGAACAGGTTATTTTTCTCTTTTTTCTCCCGATCAGTGGAAACACTCCTGTAAATTTTCAGGTTTTAAAGATACTTGAACTGTCCCTTCTGTGATTGTTTGCAAAAATTTTAAATGATGAAAGTCCTGAAGTTCTGGATCAGCACACCATGGTTTCATCAGTCTGATACTTGTGACCAACAGTCTGATACTTGTAGTAGCTGTTGACACATGGACAAGTTGCAGTGAGATGGTGCTTTAATATGATTCAGCATCATTAGATATGATAGTAATTGCCACAAATATAGTTTAATTGACTTCTTTTTAGTATTGTGACTGCTTTTCTAGTGAAATAAGAATTATTTGGTTTTAGCTAATGGAAAAAGAAAAGTTATGTATTAATATAGTTCTATGTATCATCTTATTAAATAGCAGGTGTTAATGCGATAAGATGATCTTTAATGCAATAAAATACGGTGCTGTAACAGTTTTATAAGTCTTTTTAAGCCTTTCTGTAAGAATGTTTTTATTTTGTCCGACTATTTCTATTTTGTTTTGCTTCCTTTAAAACTGCTTGACATGGTGCACTTTTTTTTTTTTTCCCCCTGAAAGGAGACATCTTGTTGTACCTAGGATTTGTTCTAGAAAATTCTTTATACCTGTTTGTTCTGCGGCCTTTTGCATTTGTCTTGTTCCAACTGATGCTTCTCAAGGCATCTGTGGCCTCCAGGGTTAGCATTCTTTTCTCATGCTTATAGCATTTTAATCACTGTGCTGTTACAATTTATATGGAAGTGATCCATTACCAGGTAATAGTAGGTGTGTTTACTTTGCCTTGTAGTGTTATCCTTTGGGGATCAATTTCTTTATCTGTAAATCACTGTCATGTTTAACTGGGAAGTAGGAAATAGGCTGGATAGCAAGCCTGATTCTTGCCTATACTGTTAGGCCATTGGTAATTATTTAAAATAGAATTTTAAAATTTAATTTAAGAGTTTTCAGAGTTTTAATGTGGGTGTTTTGCATTTTGGGATATGCCATTAGGTACGAAACACTCTTAAATTACAGATCACTTTTGTCTAACTTTGAAATATGATAGTGAGTAAAACAGAAAGCTCTTTAGCTGCAGCTGTGTCACTGAAAATTTGACCCTTGGTATAACACCAGTGCCTATGCCATTACCTTGGATTTTGTAATGGTCATATGATATTCACATGGAATGTTATCCGATTTATTTTTTTATCTAACAGGAGCTGACTGAAGAACAGAAAGAGGGTGCTTTCTCCAATTTTTCTATTTCCAAAGGGACTGTGCAGCTTCTTCAAGGTAAATTTCTTGGAATGATGTCACTACAGGAAGTAAATTGTCTTGTCATGTGTTTTTATGCTCAGCATAATCAGTGAATTTTGAGATACTCTTTGCTTGTGTGTATGCAAGCACAGAAGCTCTACAGAAGGCATATTGAGTGCCTACTCTGTATATGTTTTAAACAGACTTTTCTGTTTGTGGTATTGCCCGATTCAGCCTTTACAGTGGAATTTTGAATTATATAAGCTCAAAAAAAAAAATTATTCTCTGCAAAAATTTTTCAATTCAAAGTTATTTCAATGCGAGTAAAGGAAAATCATTATATTTAGAATCTTTGACAGTAGTTTGTGGATGACAATATGAATTAAGTTTGTGGATGAGTTAATATGAACAGAAGAGCTTTTCACATGTTTATGTGAAAGAGATTTTTATAGATAGGTGGGGAGTATTACATAAATAAAGCCACAGTACTTAAAGGCTTTTATTAAAGGCTCGTAACTTCATCTGTCCCAGCTAGCATTATGCCTAGTGATACGAAGTGGGAGAATAAAATGGACAGTCCTGGGGCACTCTTTAGAGATGACCTCTGTGATTCAGTAGGTCAGTGGAGGTGATGATATAGTTCTGACTTACTTTAAAGTTGATGGAAGTTCTGCTTGGGGTAACTTTCTCTGAGGAGCATGACAGAACACTTGTAAAATGATTGTATTAAGGAAGTCTGTTGAAATTGTCACAGCTCGAGGAGTGACCTACCTGTTCCCTGTGCAAGTGAAGACCTTCAACCCAGTATATTCTGGCAAAGACGTAATTGCTCAAGCACGAACTGGAACAGGGAAAACCTTCTCTTTTGCTATTCCCTTAATTGAAAAGCTTCAGGGAGACTCACAGGAAAGAAGAAGAGGCCGTTCACCAAAGGTAACTGCTTAGTTAGAATGCTAGTTTTGCCTTGTCTTATGTCCAAGTGATTCAGATTTTTAACCCACTGGAAAAGTTCTTAAAGTTTGTGAAGGTATAGGGCAGCCTACATTAAAGATTATTTGAAAGCTGTGTTCGTTGCGGTTTTTCCTGCATCTTGCGTTGCCTCTTACCATCTGTTCAAGAGTAAAGAGTACCATAGCTCTATCCACTTGTCAGTTCCTTTTTCTGCTTACAAGGAGACTGAACCTACAAGTTTTCAACATGTCCCTATTTAATTTTGTTCAATCACCTTACCTGTTCAGGTGCAGTGATTACTGGATGCTTGTTTTTCTCCGAGACTAGTAATGGATTAGTGACTTTTCCTGGTTGATGAAAGCTGTCTACGTAGTTTGTTTAAACATGTAGATAGTAGGAGGTTGTAAAAATAGGACTTAGTTTTCACTAGGACCACCACCAGATACTGAAGCTTCTGGTCCAGAGAATACAGCTGTCTGCATTCTGCTAGGGAATACCATGTGTGGGTTTTTTTTTCACCAAATTCTTATGATGCCTTCCAAAACTAGATAGGCCAAAGCTTACTGTATTCTCAATAGTGGAAATGTTTTGAAGGTTTATTTCATCTTGTCACACATCTCATAACCAAACCAAACTCATTCCAAAGCTAGTACTCGTTGTTCTGTTTGCATCTGCCGGTCACACTGGCTCTCTGGCTGAGAATGGTGACTGGATTTGGCACAATCTCAGGGAGAAGGGAAAGCTTTCTTTGAGGGAGTTGCAAGTCTTAAATAAAACAGTTTTCAGGCCTCACTTGACCATAGTACATTTCTGCTTTCTTTTCTTGTCACGGGTTTCAATGTTGAAAGAAGTAACAGGATAAGGATTTTAAGATTCCATTTGTCGAGCCACTGAAGCTGGGTTTGAGAGCAGTACTGCAATCACATGTTAAACTAAATTAGTTGAAACATCTGTGGTGAAGCCTGTATATTGGAAGAGAGGATGGTTCTTTGGTTATTTCTATAGGGATATCAGCACAGGCTCCAGAACCATGCTGAACACCAGCTTGGCAGACTGAACATATGTTTCCCTGAATCATAGAGAAGCTGAGACAATTTATGGCTCTTTCTTACACCTTTTTGCAGGACTGTGAAGCATTACTGAACATGTGTAAAAAAAACTTATAACGCAGATCCTTCAGTCTGTACTCAAACAGCATATGCTTTTGAGTACAAGCAAAATGAAGCACACTTGTAGCTGATCTGTTTAGGAACTAAAGTTGAATAAGATTTAAGTACCTGTCTAATTTTAAAAGAAGTCAGTCTGTCCTAAATGAGTATGTGAAGGAGATTAATGATGTTACGAGGGACTTAGGCACTGTGTTTCTCTCATCTTTACTTAAGTAACTATTTAAACCAGATACTCTTTTTTTTTTTTTTTTTTTTTTTATTAAATGATGTAAATGGTCAGACCTAAACTGATGATTAACAATCTCATGGTTTCTTGCAGAAGCCATGCTAAGAGAACATCTGTTTGCTTTTTGTCTAGGTACTAGTTCTTTGCCCAACAAGAGAGTTGGCAAACCAGGTTGCCAAAGATTTCAAGGACATCACAAAAAAGCTAACAGTAGCTTGTTTTTATGGAGGAACTCCATACAATGGACAAAGTAAGTGACACTTTAATAACTGAAATGTTGATTGACTGACATATTTGAGAAATGCAGTTGAGTCCTTTCAAACACACACTTTTTAACTCAGGAACTGGAAATTATTTGTGGGGAATTCAGTAGCTCAGACTATCTCTTCTTATGGTGAGAAATAATCATAGCTCTCAATTACATTCTTGGTGTTCCTTGTTTACTCATGTACTTTAAAGTGGAAAAGATTATGCTGTGTGTGTACACAGTATTTGGGTTTAGGCTTTTACTAAGCACTTTTTTTCTTTAAAAAATACTTAGTCTTAGAGCTGTGAGACAAGATATCTGGAGGACTGATAAAGTGGAGAAGAAATTCTTTATTGTGACAGCATAATTTACTGTCTTGATGGTTATGGTTTGTAAAAAAGGCAGATGAGAGCAGGAAAGAGAATTAAACTCTTTCATTGTAATGTATCTTGAGACATTAGGGTTAGTTTTTTTCCATGCGTAACTTCAGGCAAGGAGGTGATTTCAATAATGTGGATAGTCAAATACATAGAGTGGGGTGGTTTAGTTTTAGGGTTTTGTGTTTTAAAATTTCCAGTTAAGGTAGACAATTTGGGAAGAGCTAATTATTTCCATGTTTGCTACTTTATTTAAATCACAGGGAGAGGGAAGAGGGATGGGAAATCTTTCCTTCAGATAGAACAGTGCAACTTCTACCTCACCAGTTTGTTCTTGTTTCTTCTCTCCCCCAAATTTTCTCCTGCTGTTCATCATTTTTTCTCGCGTGCATTTGTAAGGAGAGTACTTATGAGTGGTTCAAGAAGCTGTTTCATTATTACTTACATACCATGTGTTTCGAATGTAAAGAGTGCTCCCTAGTTCACTGCGAACTCCTCTTCTGCTCTTTCCTGTTTTATCAGTTGATCTCATGAGAAGTGGCATTGACATTTTGGTTGGGACACCTGGTCGAATCAAAGACCATCTTCAGAATGGCAAGCTGGACCTTACCAAGGTGAAACATGTTGTACTCGATGAAGTTGACCAGATGCTGGACATGGGATTTGCTGAGCAAGTGGAAGACATTTTACGCGTTGCGTACAAGAAGGGTAATCTCAATAGTTAAACAAATAGTAGGAAATATTAATAATAATAAATTCAGGTATATTTTTCTGAAGGTGTCTGTTAAGAAATGACCGAATACTGTGTGTCATAAGAAATACAGTATATGACAGTATATCATAAGAAACATAATGTGAACACAGTACATGAGGAAGTGTTGTGAAAGTGGTAGTCATTCATAGGACCTTCACAAAGCTTAAAATCCAGCACCTAGGGATCTAGATAACTTTCTTTGGCACCTATCTATAAGTTGTATTTTAACTTCTTCCAGTTAAAAGGAATTAGAAGCTTTTTACCTTTTCACTGCTTGAAAATAGCCTGGATTTTTGGTCATAGTAACTTTTGTCTTTACCTTGGAAATATTCAGACTTTCTAGAGTATTTTGGTTTTCTCCAGATGTTAGTAGTGTGTACATTTAAAAAGCAGAATTGCCTTCGTTATTCTATATACACTGATATTTAACCTTGTATTTTTAATAACCCATGTAAAAAACTTGTATACTTCTGTAATATGAAACACATGAAGTTTGTGAAACATTGTTCTGTGTTTTAAGATTCTGAAGACAATCCCCAGACACTACTGTTTTCTGCAACTTGCCCACATTGGGTGTATGATGTAGCTAAGAAATACATGAAGTCTAGATATGAACAGATTGACCTTATTGGGAAAAGAACTCAAAAGGCTGCTACAACAGTAGAAGTGAGTAATCTATCTAACATGAAATTTTTTCATGCCTTCTCCCTTTTCCTTTGTGCTACAAATGGTAATCCCGTCCTAAGGTACATTGTTGGAATGATGGTGAAAGCTGGTTTGAGAATTATTTTTAAGCTTATAGAACCTTATAGCTAGTCAAGCTGTTTCTTGGTTTAGGATCTGTCTCTCTTCTTAAAGCGTCTGATAATCATATAGACATCTTGGGAGGATTCAGTTACCGGTTTTGTTGGTTTTCAGAGAAAAGTGGTATCTGAATTTATATAAGTTGGAAGCCAGAGGAACACATTAACATCAGCCTGACTCTTTTAAATTGTCAGGGACTTCACAGTCAAATCCTGCTATTCTGTATATAGGAGATTTTTTCAAACTTCCTGTGGTATCTCACCTCACTAGGCTTTTGCTGTGCAGTAAATACTATAACAAGGAATGCCATACATAAATGCTAGAAGCCTGAATTTAGCTATCTTCACTTGGTAAGCTAATTGTTTCCACTTAAGTCCTGCTTAGCAGTTACTTTGACAGATCAACAGGACAAGTAATTGTATCAGTGGGATTAAAAGAATGTTCATCTTGTGCTTGGAAAACAGCTTTTAATGCACTGCATTTATTTGTTTCACTTCATCTGACATAAAGCTTTAGTTGATAGAACTGTGACAAAATCTTGCACCCTGACTGTTCTCCAGAGGAATGGAATAACATTTCCTGTTTTCTTTTCCTTGCTTTAAAAAAGTGATTTGTAGACTGTCATCTTTGGGGGTTTTTTAATCTCTTACTGTAATTATTTTGCTTAATGTTAGACTAATTCTGGTGGACATAAGAGCCTTATGGATTTTGCATGTTCCAGTAACATGAGTTAGCATTTTTTGCCCATTGGGAAACTGTATAACTCTTTAGTATTTCTGAATTTTTAAGTTTTAAATGTTTTTAAAAAGCATCTTGTGTTCTTATATAAGCTAAACACTGGAATTCTTTTCTGTAGCATTTGGCAATAGAGTGTCACTGGTCTCAGAGAGCTGCTGTTATTGGAGATGTCATTCAGGTCTACAGTGGCAGCTACGGGAGGACCATTGTCTTTTGTGAGACCAAAAAAGAGGCAAATGAACTGGCTCTGAATGCTTCGATCAAACAGGTATTTTATCATCTGTATTAAGCAGTAAAACCTGCCAGAGATGCATCAACCCTACGTCGATACCAGACCTATGCTGAGTAAGCTTTAAAGAGAGGTTTCTAGAGTGGGTAAGGCAGGCTTTTGCAGGTGGTCAGGTAGTTTCAAAACTGCCAAAAAGAACCTTTTAAAAAACCTCAGCAAACTGGTTGAAAGTTTTAGAGCATTATAGTCTTCAGGACCAGGCTGTGCTAACAGATACTGGGATTTTTTTTCTCAAAGGAAGAGTTCTTACTGACATTAAGTGAAGCAGTTGTGAATTTTATGTAGAGAAGACTCTCTTGGATTAAAAAGTGGTAGACTTAGAGAACTACTAGGATAACAGGTCATGGTACTGGAATAGCAGTTATTGAGCTGTGACACTGACATAAATTAGTGTTGTTGGGGGGGCAGATTAGGGTTTAGAGCTGTAATGTAATGGAGGTTGCATCTGTATTTTTATTAAGATGTTTATTAGCTGTTATGAAGAGTTTAAAGATGCATACACAGCAAGAATTCAACCTGCCATCTCTTGTGAAGGATCTTTAGTGTATTCCTGAGATTTGTGGTATGACACATACTAGCACTGGTGGAAAATAACTCACTGGTGAGGTGGTACAATGTTTATGATGTGTAGTGGTACTCAAGCACTGCATGCTTGGTTTTGGTGGTGGTATCACAGCAACTACTTTTTCTGTATGTGTTTTCATTGAGGAGATGAGTTATGTCTAGAAAACAGTACAGCATTATGTTCCCAGGGAAGGGAGGAGCTTTTTCATCTGCTACAAATGTGTTCAGGAATGTTTCTCCCATACTCCTAGATGACCTCAGTAGCAGGTAAACCTCTGTGTGGAGCCTTATTCTGTTACTGATGGTGTTAGGTTATGAGTCTTGCATAGGCAATGCAGAACTCTGATCTTGGCATGTAAGAAAAGGAAATTATTTAGATGTTTCTGGTTTAGCTTATTAATACTTACTAATAATAATACAGCTATTCCATTTAGCATCTGACATTAATCCAAAACTGAAAAAGAATTTTTGAATTCTGTGCTGACCCTAGCACTGAGTTGGTATTTTTTCAAATCATTCTCTGTTTAAATGTGGAAAACATGGTAGTCATCTGCAGGTAAACTCTGAAATGTCAAGTGGAGGAGAAACCAATTTTTGGATGTTTGGTCTTCATACCTGTTACTGCTGTGATATAGGACTTTCAGAATGTTTGGATTAAAATGAAATTGTCTTGGAAGCTGTAGTTTTTGTGAGTTTGGGGTTTTGGAGGGGGTGGTTGGTTTATTTTTTTTTTCACGACCCCTTGTATTTTAATCCTTTAATTGGTAGTAGGGGAGATTAACATATTAAGGGGGATTAAGACTCAACACTTTTGGAAAATGTGTCTAAATTACACTAAGAAGGCCTGAGAAAATTGTTGATGGTTATTTTGAAACAGCTAAGCTTTGCAGAGATTGTGTGGATGGCAAGTTAGGGCATAGTTGTTTTCATAGGTCACAGTAATTAGAGGTGGAGATAAGACAGATGTTGTGATTCTGGTTTCCTACCTTTGTTAAGGGTCTTTGAGGTATATGAATAAGTACTGAGTAAATATTCTAAGACACTATTAATCCAGTTCTTCTGTATCTTGCCATATAGTATCCATCAAATACCAGATACTGTACCCAAAACTAAACATAAAATGGAGCACTGTCTTGGATTTTAGTACAGTCCTGTAATAATACTGTTTTTCAGGATTGCCAGTCGTTGCATGGTGACATTCCTCAGAAGCAAAGAGAGATCACACTGAAAGGTTTTAGAAATGGTACATTTAAAGTTCTGGTTGCAACGAACGTAGCTGCCCGTGGCTTAGATATCCCTGAAGTTGACCTGGTTGTACAAAGCTCACCACCAAAGGTAGGAGATGGTTATGTTGGATGTCTTTACACTTGTACTGGGTGTATTACACTTAGGTTGGTGTAATAATTTGTGCTCTTGTTTTCAAGTAGTATATGCAATCAGGTGATGGTATTCACAACACAGAGCTTATTGTTGCATTTAAGGGCAAGGGTGAGAAATGTCCTGGTATATAGAAGAAGTTTCTTAGAGGATTTTTTCAGAGTGCATCAGTGCCTAGTATGTTTAAAAATGGTCTCCTTAAAATATCTTTTCTGAGGCTGTTCAAGGCCTCTCCCTTCAATGCTGTGTATGGTGATTGCAAATCTGGAAGCAGTGGGAAGTAGATAAAGTAGATAAAAGACTGTTTGTCCTGCAAGAACAGTTCACACAGAGGAGGAGGGGACCCCAATAGTGAGAACATTGGCTGAAGTTAGGGTATGAAAGAAACAGGATAATTTTCAGTGAATTCACTATTAATATCTCAATAACCATAATCAAGTTGATGTGCAGGAGGGTGAGTGGGATTGTTATGGAGGTAGACATACACACTCAAAATGGTTTGGTGGGGTTTTTTTCATATTCTCTGTGATGATGCCAAAACAAGACTTAGGTGATCCATGTTAGATTCGTGCTCATGTTTCTGGCTTTCAAATTCTGATTTTTACAGGGCTGTAGAAAAGCTTATTCAATTGACTTTAGTGAAGCAATGTTTTTTGATTTCATTCTCTGATGCAGTTATTGTGTATTGTTCAGGCTTACCTGTAATAGCTTCTACTAAGCTATGAGAATGCAATTAATTGATCTAACTACAGTAAATTAGGTAAGTCATAAGGCTATTTATTTTGAAGGATGTGGAGTCCTATATCCATCGCTCTGGACGCACAGGTCGAGCTGGACGGACTGGGATCTGTATCTGTTTTTATCAGCGAAAGGAAGAACATCAGTTAAGATATGTGGAACAGAAAGCGGTAAATTATAGTTTCCTTCTGAGCATTCAGATGTAATGTAGCATGTAAATAGCATGTAAAATCTTAATGTTTTGTTCAGTAGTTCAATTACAGAATACAGCTTATAAAGCAGCTGGTTGAGGTTCAGTTACCTTGCAGGGTTTCAGTAACACAGTCAGTTGCTGTGGAGCAGTGAATCTGACCACTTTTTCAATAGATGCCAGTAAGAATGTACCTGTGGCAATGAGAAAAAGCCAGCAGGATTTCAGTGTTCGCCCTGGCTTATTGTTTGATCAGTGATTTACATATGTGTAGCTTTACTAAGAATTGTTACTATAATTTCTGCACTTCGTGTGCTTTCCCATAGAGCAGGTTTTTTTGCCAATTAGGTATTCAATTGGGATGAGATGGTTTAGTCTCGGAGCATAAAAAACAGACTTATATTTAGAAAGGCTGTGTAACTTGTACTTAAATACAAATAAATCAGACTAAAATCAATAATTTAGAATTTGTAGACTTCCTCCCTCTCCCCCCAGTAATCTGCCCCAATGGTCTCTATTTCAGTTTAAGGTCACTGGGTCATTTAAACTGACCTACTATGAACAAAAGACTTTTAAGTGTTACCCATTTCCCTGTAAACTTAACCTTTTAATTTTCACTGGCAGAAGGTGGGAGTTAAATGTTGAAAAGAACAAAAATGATAGATTTAAATACTATTTCTTTAGAACTGCATTATTTATGGTCTGCAAGTTTCATCTCTATTTGGCTTTTTAAATTTCAGGGCATTACGTTCAAGCGTGTTGGTGTTCCTACTGCAACTGATATAATAAAGGCTTCCAGCAAAGATGCCATCAGGTGTGTTCTATGGCTCAAGCCCTGTCATGTCTTGCTGCCTTCCTAGTTCAGAAGGATTGTTTGGGTTGCTCTTTGCTGTCTCTGAACTCTTTGAACTGATCACTCTTAAAACCTTGGACTGCTGTTTTCTTCTGTTCCAGAGCCTAGTAAATACGTGTGTGTGTGTGTGTATTTATTTTTTTTTTTTTTTTTACTCAGGTGTCTGGATTCTGTTCCTCAAACTGCTATTGAGTATTTCAAAGAATCTGCTCGGTTTCTAATAGAAGAAAAGGGACCAGTTAATGCTCTGGCTGCAGCACTAGCTCATATTTCAGGTGCTACTTCCATTGAACAGCGCTCCTTGCTGAACTCGGATGCGGTAAGGGTGTATGGCTTAACATTTGTCTTAAATACAAAAACCAAAAAATGTGCCTCTTTTTAAATAGAGAATTATGTCTCTTCGTGATTTTATTTATGAGAACTGTACTTAAGCTACTAGTAACTACTAGTATAGTTAAAAGCAAGACTATAGTGGCTATTGCTCTCCTGTAACAGTATCTACTTGAAAAGTTAATATACTAAATTATTAAGTTAATTGTTATTAATTAAATTAGCAGGTTTCTTGTGTCTGATAGATGTACTGAAGCATGTTTCTCTGACTTAATGGAGCATGCCCCATTTTTTGCTCTTTAGGGATTTGTTACAATGATACTAAGCTGCTCGGAAGAAATAAACAATATGAGCTATGCTTGGCGAAAACTGCGAGAACTGTTAGGTGACGATGTTGATAGGAAGGTGAACAGAATGTGTTTCCTCAAGGGAAAAATGGTAAGGTTTTTTGTACGTCTGCTACTGAGCTCTTCTGTTTGTAGCCTTTTCTCAACAATTTCCCCATTACCACGCTTTGTCAGTAAGGACATGACTGGTAGAAGGGTGGGCCTCAGTTTGTTTTATTAGGGCTTGGGTATCTCAGGATTTTAAGGCTCTGCTCCACTGACGTGCTAAAGACGTAGTAGAATGCAGTATATGATAGCCCAAAAGGTAAAAGGTATGAACTGTGCTAACTGCCTTAGTGACAGAACACAGAACAGGATTTCTTAGGTCAGTTTCGATAGTGCATGTTCCTTGTTATTCTGGTACCTGAAACTGAAAGATCAGAAAGTTACTTTCTGAGTTGCATATTTAACAGTGTTGCAACAATTGTAGCAAAGCTCGCTGTGAGGTGGTTATTTTAAACAAAAGTGATTAACTTCACTCTTCTTGTCTCGGAATTTGTATGCATTTTCAGAAACATGAAAATGTGTGATCAGATAGTCCAGGATTATTTGTGGTGACACAGAGGACAAGGAATTTATATGTCCTGTTTTTGAGAGTTGTTAGGCATTATTGCTGATTTGCACCATCCGTTTACTCTGTCTCTTTACTCACAGCACTGTTCTGTATTTGGTATATGGAACGCTATCTAAGAATGGTTTTTCTTACATCAGATTTGTAATCCTTTATATCCAGATTTCTTATTTGGACAAAGAATAGCATTTTAAAGAGTGAATTAAACTTCTTATTTGAAAGAATTTACAAAATGGGCAATGCAGAAGCCGGGAGACCGCAGTTTAGGATGGAAAGGGTTATAACCTTATTGCTAAAAAGCAAGAAAATGTGAATTTGAAGTACTGGCTATGCAGAGGAAAGAAAGATGTGTTTATCTGAGGAAAAGTTCAAGGAAGTAGAGGTGTCTTAAGAAATATTGATGCAACAGTCTCAGTGTTCAAAGATCTTGAAATAGATTTAAGTTTCTGTTTAAAACCATTTTGAAATGTAAAACTGTTCTAGTACGCAGGCTTGTAGGCTCTGGTTTGTGGGTTTTTATTTGTGGTTTTTTGCTTTTTGTTTCATTTGGTTTGTTTTCAGTCAATTAAAAGGTTAGACCTATATCCATTAAAATTATTCTTTCTTTTTAGGGTGTGTGCTTTGATATTCCTGCAGCAGACCAAAAGGAAATAGAGGTACATTCACTGAACTTTCTGGTTACAGCAGACTGTAGATGAAACTGACTGGTCAGAAAACATAAAGCAACTTGTATCCTGCCTTTCCTAGTGGCAAAAGGGATAGCTTTGAAGGAATTGGAGAATGGAACAAGCATATAGAGTTTCTCTCCTAAAGAATTCCCTTGTCCCCAAAAATCTGTTGCTTGAAACTTTTGCACTGGGAAGTGTGGTAGTGTGAACAAACCCACCCTTTGTTACTGCTGCTGGATTAATCTTTGTAGGCAGCAAATTTTGTTACTCTGTAAAATCCTCTTTTTTTCTATTCCCTGCCAGCCCTTCTTTTCACCTATAATTCTCTCCACATAAAAGTGAATTCAGGTTTTTTGCTTGGCAGAGTTAGTGTTCCATGACAAAATTCCTTCTTCCAAACTTTTCCTCATGTATTTCATTTCTCCCTTAGTGTATCTCTAAACCCATGTGCCCTAGCATTCATTGACTCCGAAAGCAATGTTTGGTTCTGGATTAGGAGGGAATTGAGGGCAGGGTGTGGGTTTGTGTTCAGTAATAACTGAAGTGATATTCTTAATACATAGAAGGTGGGGAGTTTACTGATGAGGTTGCTCTGTAAAGCTCTAAGGTGAGTTTCAGTTCTGTTCTTTAGCATCTCAGGCATACTCAGACAGCTGTAGCTCTTAAGCTTAAGATTTTGAAACCAGCATTGACCACTTTAGTTAGAAACTTAAATCCCCTATATTAGGTCACATTTTTACCCTTTCAATTGAGCAAATTCAATAATTGTGAAATACTCTGTAATTGCATTACTGGATTTTAACTTGCTATGTGTGACTTTATTTCAATAGGCAAAATGGGAAGATTCAAAACAATGGCGTTTGTGCGTGGCGACTGAATTACCTGAGTTAGTAGAATCACAGCGAGGAGGAGGAGGAGGAGGTGGAGGAAATGGCCGAAGCTTCTCAAGCTCCAGAAACGGGCGTCGGGGTGGTTCTGGTAGAAACAGATTCAGAAGCAGAGGCCAGAAAAGAAGTTTTGACAGAGCATTTGATCGTTAATTTCAACAATCTAGAACTGCTAAAAATGGGACTGCAGTATTTTATATTACAGTAAAATAGGCTGTTCCTGTGTGTTTGTACCACTTGGAAAAATCTGTCGTTCCTTTTTTTTTTTTTCTCACTACTACTTTGGTCATAAACAAGATGCTGTTCACTTAAAAATTAAAAAAAAAAAAACGCAAAAAACAACCAACCCACCCCAAAAAGCCCACAAGGAGAATAAAACTTACTGTTTCCTTTCTTTCTTATATCTCCATTTCAGCTGTAAGACCTAAGTCTATTTCAGCGTATGGCTGTCGCATTCAAAACTGTAGTCTGCCTCACTGTATAATATATAGATCTTAACTGCTGGTCAAACCTGTACATTTTCCAAAAAAAATAAAATATTATTTTACAAGTTCATGTTCTGTTAGAAGGTTTTGAAAGTGTGTATGTGTTGGGTAAAGGTGAGTAGCATAGTTTGAATAAACACAGTTGAGAGTATAATTTTTTTACAGTATTATGGAGTCAGAGACCGATTTAGGTTGGAAGGGACCTTAAAGATCATCTAGTTCTAACCCCTTGCTGGGATAAAGAGTAGCATGAAGATCTATGGGATCACAGTGTCTTCTGATGATGATCGACAGCCAGAAAAGCTCCTTGAGACACAGCAGTGAGGAGGACTTCTGAGTGCTGAAGGCTTTAAAAACAGTGTGCAACAGGAACAGGAGCATGGCAAGTCCCTAGTATAATTCTACACTGAAACGTGAGTTAACAAAAGTAGTGCTGCAGTGCTGCATGCCCATTGCTTCTCACTTACCGTCCAGCGAACAAGTGGTTGTAGCTTAAAAAGGAAAAAACTCCAAATGGTTAGTTGATTTTTCTCACGAGTCTGAAAATGGTCTCAATGCTTTTCATGTACACTGACCAGCTTGTTCAAAGCCCCGTCCAAACCGGCCGTCAGCACTGCCAGGCAGGGGCCAGCCACCACTTGTCCAGGCAATCTGCGCCACTGTCTCAGCACTCTCAGTAAAGAACTTCCAATTTCAATCTACCCTCCCTCAGTGTAAAGCCATTCATCCTTGTCCTAAGCAGACATATCCTAAGCATTTCCATGCGACACTATATGTGGCGATTACTGTTTTGCCGCCGGTATAGACGCGTGGGGTGCAGCAACCTGGTAGCAGCGTTGCGGCAGGAGCCCCGGGAGAGGAGGTGGTGGTGGTGGTGCGGCCGGGACCAGGTGCTCGGGGACCCGATGCTCGGCGCGCCGGGCGCGGGGGAAGCTGT